TTCAGATTAACTTTCCTCAACTGTCCCCATGTAGACAAACCAACATAAACTACTGATACCCTATTGTTTAGAGCACAGTACAAACACCCAGGTAAATATGTTCTCAGAGTTGAAGACTAAGACAGATCTAAAAATGTAAAGCAATACAGACAGACACTGATTGAAGGTGAAAGATAAAAAAATGCAAAGATATTTGGACCCCCATTATCAACAAATTAGATAAAATACTGATCAAATAATATATGATGAAGATCTATCTAAACTATAATGGTACCCTGTATGGTTGATTGATTTATTTAACGATGGGTGCAGATCTTACACACTAGAGATTTGATTATTTTCTGTGATGGTACAATACATTGAATGCTAATTAGAAAATAGCTCCCTATTTGAAAACTAAGGTGGAGGTGGCTTATGAACTGACAATGAGGCAGGCAAATGGAAAGGACAAATGTAAAATGAGTAAACATTCCCAATTTATATCGTGGGAAAATCATACCAGTACTGCTACGTGAAGGTGATATGTCTGCAGATGTCCACAAGGAAACATTTCCCTCTGATCAGTGAAACGGATTGTGCAGCAGGACAAAATTGGGACTCTGTCTGTGTGACCTCCATTAGATTACAGTACATAACCAATACCAGACAGAAAGGAAGCCTCCCTGGAGGTTGGCCACACTGCATCGTAGGGCTGTTATATATTTGGGACCAAAGCCACCTGTAGTTTATTATGACAATAAAGATTTCCATCATTTCAGGATTCAATTTCTTTCTATTCCATAGAGATCTCTTGTTAAATGAAGCATCAGCATAAAAAAGTGAAATAAAGATAAAGAAATAAACATGCTGAGAGCTCAGACTTCGTATGTACTCTGAAAAATGTCATTTGACATTGGTGTTTCAATGCTTGTTGCTTCTTGCTTCCACCTGCTGGTGGAAACTTGAAAAGCAAGACATGCTAAAAGCCTCTACATTTGGAGGAGGAAAGGCTCATTTCTGGAAGCTTTTCTAAAGCCTGCAGACATTTGAGAAATTATGCCATTGTGCTCTTTTGACTTAAAGTTAATTGTTACATGTGAAGAACTCTCTTGTAAAGTTCAGCCCTCATAAACAAAGTTACACAAACTAATGAAGACAACACTGTATATTTTCTGGCAGCCCGTGCAATAAATCAAGGAGGATTTAAGACATATAGAGTTACAGACAAGTTGTAAAAATGTATAAACCACTCTCTTTCCTTTGGAAGTCAGGTGTCAAAGGGAAGAGATGTGAAAAACTCAGTGCATCATGCACTCTTTTCCAATTTGGCAAAATCTTTGGCTAATGCTATGTGCTCTGACTCCTAATCCTTTCCTGCCCTTGACCCCTGCTGTCTAGATTCAAACTTGTAACCATTAGTGGAGCAGGATCAAGACGCTGGCTTTCCGATGCCACAACTGAGGTTTAAAAGGGATTTAAACTCTCTGCTTTTCAGCCTGGTAAAATGAACACAGCAGTAGATTAATGCAAGGATTTGTGCTTACACAGCATGAGAGCTTTCAAAAATAATGTTAACAAAGCTACAAGTGCCTCTCAGAGAGTAATCAAAACAAGAGAGGTCAGAACCAACAAACAGATGAGTGCAGGGCAAAGTCTGGCCAGTGCTATTGTAGGTACAGGGGCTTCTATGTGGCCAAGAAGGAGCTTTATACACCTTCTGCGTGCTGCAGGGACCAGTTTTGTACCAGTGCAAGTATAGTCAGAATAAAGACATAACTGCTAGATCCACTGCTGTGTGTATTCACTAGCTAATGTCCCTGGGAAGGGAGAATACAAGACTGTGGACATTGCTGCTGTCTAGGGACAGTTGTGCAGCCTGAAGGAGGATCTCTTGCCCAGCCTTTCTGCTTGCTTGTGTTTGGACAGGGATTGAGGTTTTGGTGCACGAGACAATTGTGTTGAATTTATGTAGGAAAAGAACAGGGTTTTCTTTAAGGGAGGGTCCAGTTTAGAATTGCTTTGAAAGGAGCACATTTCTCCCTTGGAAAGGATACTGCATTGAAGGCAGGGTGCTATCTTTGTGGTGAAGCCACTTCTGCTCTGCCTATGGGCAGGAACCTTATCTCCTGGGCCCCCATGCAACTTGCTTCCCCCTTGTTCAAGGCCGGCAGCAAAACACATTTAAGTCCAGAGCAGTCAGACAAACCTCTAAAGGTTTAGAACTGCTGTTTCAAAAGATTTCTACAGACATGCCAATCCATAAGCCCTTTTAGGGCTGATCCTAGACTACTGAATCCAGTGGGAGTTCTGTCATTAACTTCAATGAAAGACGGGTTGCACTCTTGGTGCTTTGTTTATTGCTGCATTTCTTCTTTGCCTTAGGCAAGAACCTATTTGTTTGTTACCTGTGCTTACTGTGCAGTGCTGGGAACATTGCTGGGGCTAGCTAAAACCATTTTGCCATTTAGATTTGGGCAACCACTCAGAACTTTGTTTGGTTATTTAAACGATCCCAGCACAACTAGGCTGGAAATAATCTCAAGAGAAAAGGTTCTTTGGTAGGATCTCTCCATAGGATGAGCATATTGCAGGGACAGCAGTACTTTTGCTTCAGGCAGGAAATTTGAAGTGCAGAGGAGCATGCAAATGGAAAATACACTTAAACAATGAGATATTTTCATACTACTTCCTCCCCTCTCCCCAACCTCATCAGAAACAGTTTGATTCAGTTCTGGGTAGGGCAAATGCCTGGCTTTATTCTTATTTTATCCAAACCGATTCATATATTCCTGATTTTGAGGCAAACACCATCTCTGGTTTACAGCTAGAGCAGCTGCGGTGGTTGCTAGAGCCATTCCAGTGACCTCTACGGAGCGGGAAGGAATGCTTCTCCCCAGTTCACATCATAGTGGCTTCAGCATCTCACCCTGGACTGAAGCAGCACTCCTCCTTTCCTCCTTCGAGGACACTTCTATGGGGATATGCCCACCAGCCCGTTCCCCTCCTTTGCCTCACCCACAAAAGCACTCAACTTTGTAGGCTCCTATGGAGCTATGCTTTATGGCAGAGTAGAGCTCAACTCTGCCCACATGGATTTCTAGAGCATGCCTATCCTAATGAAATTTTCTAATTGATTAAAACCAATCCAGTGACTGTGGTCATACAACCAAGTACAACTACTTAAGGTGGCCTGGTTTGTTCTTTACCAAACAAACTCCAAGATCACCTAGAATCGTGTCATCCCTTCCTCTCCTACAGTGGAGCTGTATCAGTTCTGCTGCCATTAGTGTCCTCTATAACTACAGAAGGCATAATTTGGGCGCATCAGTTTGGTCAGGGTGGAGTCCAAGCTAGTGCTAAATCTTAGAAGTACTTTTACTTGCAAGTAGGTCTAAATATACCAGCCTGTGGCCACCTCCACACAAGCGTGGGCATTTGGTTCCTCAGGGACAACTAGCAGTGGCACACCTGTGCCACGCACCCTCTGATGTGCAGCAGGTTACCCTGGGTGGGGGAGTGGGCTGACCCCAGCAGCCTTATTTGGGATCCTAGTGGCCTCCTGGGGTTGCAGCAGCAGCAATCCTGTTGCTTGGAGCCTGGCTGGCAACCAGAGCATGGCTCCAGCTGGCCAGGCTCTGGTTTTGGGTGGCATGTAATGTCCCCATGTGCGCCACCCTGCTTTTTTATTGCACAGGAACTCCTGGGGTCAAAAACCTCCAGTGCGAACGATTGACTGCGTGGTATGTGGTACTACAGATATGTCTGCAGTGCCACATATCACATAGCCATGCTCATCTGGATGTGGCCTGTTTGTTGCATTTTCATCAGAAAATACTTTGGGATTAGATTGTGCCATCTGTATTTATTTGAGTATATCCCTACTCCACAAGTAGTCTGGGACAATCACCCCAAGCCAACCCTTAATGAGGAAAACAGCTCTTTTCCTCCCCCAGTGTGCTCTGCTCTGCTCCCTCTTTATCCAAACTAACTTACTGCTGATGGCAGGATGGCAGCACATTCCCATTTCACGCCAGCTTGATTAATGTGTCTCAGTTATTTGTGTGAAAGATTCCAAGCCTTCAGAATGTGAGACCAAGTTATTGTTCAGCCAATCACAGTTAGCATGTGAAAATGGGGGATGTTTAGTGTTCATGCACCAGATTCAAAGGAGGGGCATCTTGGAATGGGTCACACAGCAACACCCACTTCTTTGAACGGGTGTTACTATGCTCTACTAAACCTGTAAAACTCTGATTCGAACCTCTTCTTTTCTCTCCCCCTCTTATTTTTTCTAGATAGATTCCCCCTCCCACCTTTCAGGGTGAGAATGAGAGAGACTGGCTAAGTCTGTAGATGGATGGATTTCACGTTTCAGGGTTTTTAATATTTCACTTTTATATTTCTCTTAGAGAATGATCCTGCTGAGAGGCTAAGAATTGGTGCTCATCATTTCCCCCTCACTGACACTTGGATATATTGCTCTGAAAGATATCCCAGGAGAAAACATTAAACAAAACAAAAAAAACAAAAAAAAAGCAAGTGAGAGAGCCTGCTTTTCAAAGCATATTTCTCAACCTGCCCACATCAAAATAAGAGACAACTGGCCCTTTGAAGTTCAGGACACAGACTTCTCAACCAGCCTGCATTAAAATAAAAGAAACCAGCTTTATAAATCACACAGACGTCTCACCTTGCCCACTTCAAAATATGGGGCAATGACCTTTAAAAATTGGGCGTAAAGGCCTCATAGGTCATCTGTAAAAAAATAAATAGCGCAGATAAACCATACCCCCAGGTACCTCTCAACTTCTCCAGGGAAAAATAGGAGATGCTGGCCCTTTAAGCTGAAGGGCTGAGACTGACTTAACACTTCAGACAACAAAATGCTAAATCAATCTAATGTAGATCTATTTTTAGGGATTCCCTAGAGCCTAGAACAAGGTCCCTTGGTATTTGTATAGCACAGCATTTTTAAATGAAGAGTACAACTGATTCAGGAGTAACACTTAATGAGATCATACCTGGCTTATAGTTGGGAAGCTTGGAAAGTCCTGGCCATGTGCCCTCACTTGGGACCCCCAATACCTGTGCAAAACAAGAGAGGGAGAGAGAGAGAGAGAGATAACAGAAATAAATGTTGTTTGCAAGTACCTCCATACAGTAGGTGCATCCAATTTAGACTTCAGTTAACTGGTTGTGAATCCACAGCAATGCCTTGAAAATCAGTCACAATGCCTGGATATGTACCAACATTAAAACATTGGAACCTGGTTCTGTGTGTAAAGGACAGAGATTGTTTAGTACTGTTGATTTTCTAATGAAAAGGGACCTTCCAAACCTTAATGTCACTGCTGCTGGGAATGTCAGCATACATATGCAGCTGCACTGACAGATGTCATTTGCACTGTATTTCCAATAACAGGGTCACATTGTACAGACTTGTTTACAGCTAAAGGTGTCCCCCTAGGCCCTAGATTGCACTGATGAGTGATTGTCTCCAGTTGTACTCGCACCACATGATATGCACTCAGTGGCTGCACACTGTCACTGGGATAGAGACCCCTGCTGTTTTGAGATGAAAAAGAAAAGATGGTAAAGAGAGCAACTGACAGGTGCTAAAAATAATTCAGGGCCCAGTTCTGAGAGTGGCTGAGCCTCAATTACACCTCTTGCCTTGAATTATGAATCTTTATGTGGCTCAGTACCCTTCAGGAAAGTGTCCCTAAAGTTTGCTTTTGCTGCTGAAGACTATGGATTTGAGCACATCTATGTACATATTCTGTTTGAAATAGCAGCTGTTTAGTGTGAAGATTATTATTTGTTACATGCAAAAAGTACTGTGTCTAATTCTGTTAATGTGCTATGCTAAACAAGTAAAGTCCATGCCCAGGAGTGTTTAGAATATGACACAAAATAATAAAACAATACTGCCAAACCCCCAGGGTTCAAAAAATTAGGATTCATGCCCCCAAAGAATCATGAGATTGCCATAAAGATCACAAGGCCATAATCTTTAAATTATATTTGTATTAGGTTTTATTTTTTCCCTATAACTATATGATCTAGAAATGTACTTTTTTTTAATGAAAGTTGCTATTCTCATGTAATAATTAGACAACAGGAGCTAGAGCTTTAAGAAAAATATTAAGTGTTGCAAGATTTGGAGTAAAATTGTGGTGGTTGGAAATTCTGTCAAATACAACACAAGCAGAAAAAGTCCAGAATATGATTGATACAGGTAGCAGATCTCTGGTAAGCTGATTTGCATTTTTAATTTGTATTTTGGGAACCCTAAAACAGCAGTGATGACAGTTACTATAATCTGCAAGTTGGAAACAGCAGCTAGAAGAATAGATTTGCGTGAGGCTATTTCAATTCATGGATAGTGTGCTTGTAACACAGATAGGACCCATAACTATAGTTTGTCACAGAACAAATCACTGAAGTGCAAACCCCTACATTCCCTTGTGGGAACAGAACACTTGGAATTTGAACCTAGAATTACATAGTAGTCTTTTATCTCTGTAACAGGTTGCATCAAAACACTGGATCTGAAATCCCCCAAATATGGAGTGTTTAAAATCTAGGTGGACATTTTGAAGCATGGTTGCTGCTGTAATTCGGGCCCTAATTTTTCCAGAGGCTAAGTATCCCTTGTGGGTAACAAGGCACTTTTAATTCCTATGATGTAAATGCTGCTTGAGAGTATTTAGAACCTGGCTGAACTGGACTCAATGATGTGAATATACCTTTAAGCACTTCACTGTGTAAGGATGGATTGGGTGTAAGCACATGTTTAGCTGAATTTCTGCCTAATTTGGAGCCCAGAATATCCACATATAATACCAACTGGCACAGCTGGTTCCAAGCCATGAGATTTGGGTCCAGTTTCTAGTATGTGGATCTACAACGGTAGGGGCTGCATTTAGTTAATTAAACAAATGCACTCTGGCGATTACCGTCTACATGTCCTCTCTACAAACTTCAAAACCAGTTTTAACAAATCCCTGGGTCAAATCAAGACACTGCATTGTGCCTTACAGATATAGCCTACATGTCATGTGGGAATAGCAGCACTTCAGTTTTGACCAACAACAGGTTGAATTACGGCACTCAGCTGAACAGAATTCTTCATACTTTCACCTGCTCTCCCAAATAGAAACCACCCATGTATCCTAAAACCAGTCTGACTGACATCTAGCTCCTGTCAAAGAGCTACAGAATCTGAAACCCTTTTTTAATCTCCACACCTGTTGTATGTTTAATTCAACTCCAACCTAAAAAACAGTAATGGAAAGTGAAGCCCTAGGCTAATAAAGAAGGTATAACTAGGGACCTACCTAAATTGTGGCAAGAGGAAGGGATTCTTGCAGGTTGCTGATTTCATCATCTTTTTGTGGTGAGCTCCCCCTTGCTGCTGATTGGCCAAGGGCCCCAGTGGCCCTACCCCTCACTACTGATTGGCCAAGAGGCCAATCGCTTATCTTCAGAGTGCAGCATTGTGCCAGCATTGCATCTCACTTCTTGAAAGATGGTGTCAAAACCTTTTCACTTTCCTGACTGGTGCATTCGATTGGTCTTCATCATTATTAACTCAGTCTCTCTGCAGTTCTCTAGTCATGTGCTGTATGGCTGCAGGAGTTGCCGCATTTTCTTTGTATTCTGGTAAGCTTTATTTGGCTGGGGAGGAAATTCTATGCAAAGTTGTGGGAAATACTATTTCTTGTGGTGATTGCAGAAACTGCCATTTTTTGTAGTTTCTGCACAAATTGTGAAACCACAATTTAAGTAGTTTTCTAATTATAAGTCTGAATCCTATGTTTTTCGGTTACAATATATATAAATGATTGTGTGTGTGT